CTTAGGACCCACAGAAGCAAGGACAAGCATAATACCAGGGTAAAGTCCAGAAACAAAAGAGTGTGTGTAACAATCTTAGCAGCATTATCATTTCTTTTCCTTATTTCTTTTTCCTTTAATAATTAGATCTGGACTAATAATTATTAGACTCTTAAGATTTCCATTATATCAGCAACAGATTATTTTAGAAATACATGAGATGTGTCTCCTCTTTGCCCACAAAACAAGGTTTTGAGCATAACAATGGAGCTTCCTCTGTTGAGGTTTGTGGTTCAAATCAGTCTCTCCTGTGTTTACTGCTCTTATCTTGTATTAGTGGTGGCCTAGGATAAGGTCAACTGGTGGTTTCAGTCAACATCTCAAAGCCCACCACAACAACCTCTGCTCAGATAACCTGAGCTGTCCATTCAAAACATCACAAGCCTCTATGCCTCAAGATGAAAATGTGATTGTCACTCCAAACAGCTCCACACACTTTGAATGCACAATACCAACTACTGTGTGCTCCAAAGCAGCATGGTCAGAGACTCAGTAAATTGCCCTAGACTTTCTGCTGTTACCTTACTATGGATAGCAGGAGCTCTTCATCCTGGGACATGGACTACAGGCAGGCACCGTGGCATTAACAAATAGCTTGGGAGCCTGGGGACACTTGTGCTCTCCTAGGAAGCTCCCACACCCGCTCAAGCTAGGTTGCCATGTCTTGGCTCATGGTTTGTAAAATATGGATTCTCACAGACACTGGGAGAAGAGATACTCTTATGAAGTGGGAGAAGAGCACAGTTACAGTAGCCACCACCAAGAAGAGAAGTAAAGGGCCTTGAGCTCATGGTAGTGTACAACAAAGACCATCTACTTTAACATTCACGAGGGATAACTAAAGGACCCAGAAACTGTTCACTAGGTTTGAACCCATCTAAACAAACCACAGCTCCCTTTGTAATGTAATGCATAAACAAACACAAAAGAGGTATCAGGGAAAAATTATGTAGGTGTATTCTTCCCCAGAAAGCCCAAGTTTCCTGCCCCTTTGATGCTCTCCAGTCAGTGCTCCCCTACCACACACCACCTTCATACAAATCAAAAAATAAGTAGAGAAAGGCCAAAGTCACCTCACATACACAGAGGTTGCAAAGCAATGCTGTGTCCTTCACTGACACCCTCTGAAGACAAAGCCTCTGAACAGGACACCAAAAGAGATCCCAAAGCATATTCAGATCTTCTCTCTCCAGAGCTGCAGTCCATCAGAACGGCTTTTGGGGGACCCAGTCCTATTTTACAAAAGCACACATGACATCACCTTCTGCTTTACTTTTTGTCTAAATATTGCTGGTTAGAGAGGCAGCCGATGGACTGTAACACTGACAGCCTCGTTACTGGCACTTATAAATTGTGTTTGTTCAGCTGCAGTTAATGTAGGACCACCTGAGTTCTCAGAATTGACATTTTTAACAATTCTGTTCCTCCAGCACTTTCTCATTGACCACTACAAAAATCCAAACTGTCTCTTGCTCTGCCAAGCTGTTCCTGGATCAAGTTACTTGTTCTTCAGGGATTTGCAGTGTGTCAGCCATCAAACCAAGCAAACTCAATAATAACTGACCTGAGAATAGCTACTCCAATACTTCTGGGCTCTTCTGTACTATAGATTTTAGCATTAAATGTCAAAATTTGGAAGGCCAGAGGACAGATGCATCCCCAGGAGGAGGACATATGTACAAAGTATTTTAAAAATGGAAAATGCCAACTGTAAGAGTCTGGTGCTTAGATGGTGTACCCTCAGCTTACAGTCTGTTGGGTACTGTCATCTTTCTTCAGCTCTTCCTTTCCTGTGCTGTATCCCAGGTCAAGCAGAACAACCTCTTCTGCTCTCAATGATACCTCACTCGCAATTGATGGGAAACTCCTCAAATCTCAGCACTATTTGGTGAAGGAAGTGCAGAGCTCTGCCCCAGGATGCACAAAGACACACGCCTTGGGCCAAGGCAGGGGGGACCACAGTGCCTCTGACCCCCCTGCCTTAGGAAATGTGGCTCCCTGCTCCAGAGGCAGTGTCTGGGGATGTCCAATGGTCACAAAGCCATCTTCAAATTAAAGCCAAGTTAATCTTAGCTTTAGAAGAAAAGCACTTGTAGGAAATGGATTTCAAAGATGCAGCTTTAGATGAAAACCACTTAAGAGAAAAAGGTTTTCAAAGAGAAATGGGCCATTCCCATGTCCAGCAGATCTAAAGCTTTACAAGCCCTCCATGGTGAGTCTGGTCTCTGTGAGCACTCCAGCAGAACAACGTGGGCAGCTCTTCTGGCCTCCTGACAGGTTTGGGGGATTTCTTCTGTTCTTCATGATCTACTTTCTGCTGACATAAGCTATATGCTTTTTCCACCCTTCCTCTTCTTCCTAAGACACCCCATAAAGAAACAGGTCACCATGACCAGGTATGGACACACATACAGACACAGCAGTAGCCCAGCATGTGCCCACACATCCAGGGTCATGGCACCAGGGCAGAAAAATCCTTATGTAAGTATTTATTTGGTGGAATAAGAGGTGTGAGTCACAAGCAGAGAGACTGATTCCACCACACTCCTCCTTTTCTCACCTACAACACCACTGCACAGAAGTCCCACTTAACTCCTGAAGGTGAGCTCAGCTCAGCCACAGCCCCATCCTCTCTCACAGCTGCTTCCATGGACCACAACAGCTTAAAGATAAAAGACAATCCAAACCATTTGGGCCTGGTGACACATAACCCAGACAGGCACTTCCAGAGAAGGCAGAAATTCACTCCTGCCCACTCCTTCAGGTGCACAGACTCTGCAGCTGCTCCAGCTTCACAGACCTCACAGGGGGCTCCTCCAATTTGTGTAAGGGTCAACAAAACATGTTAGGGAGAAATCTCCTGCCTTTTGCCATAGGGTAAATTTATCCCATGTCTGAAATCTTTGGAAAGACCTCTTTCTCAAGGTCTAAGAAAGAGAGAAGGTGGTGGAGGAGGAATGTGGGATGATGCAACATTAAACCTCATAAACTGAACTGGACCCAGCCGTTCAGAAGCAGGTCTCCAGAAGAGACACAGCAAAGTGTATCCTCCAGCATCACCCTGTGCTAGGGCAAAGACCCTCACAACAGATGTTATTACTCAAGGAATGTTAAAGCTACATATTGTTTCATTGACCAGGCCTGCTTATTTTTTGTGCAGAATTGTTACACCTCTCCAGCCAGAGAGGTTTACTGCACATCAAGGAGACCTTCAGCATCTGGTCACTGCTCTCACTGGCCTAATTTACCAACACATCTGATAGGTATATCCTACCCCACCTTTGTCTTCCTCCAGCAGCAAAGGTGGTAGGGCTAGAAACTGACCTGTGACTCCATCTCAGACCAGCTATGAAGAGAGCTGTGCCTGATCATGTGCAGAACAACCTCCTCTGTAGCCCCAAAGTTCATGGCAAAAGCCTATGGTCATAACCAACAGCATCTTCAGCAGTCTCTAGACACCACTCCAGACAAACCAACCATTGCCCTGCGCCCTGTTCCAGGAACAGCACTCCCCCCAGAGTCCTCTTAGGGCCAGATGACATCCATCAGCCACCCCAGCTGGACTGGTTAAACAGATCAAGATCCCTGAAGAGACATTGGTGCCATCTTCCTCCTTGCTGCACAACGTGCTGTCTGGTGCATGGGGACACAGCCTGGAGTCTGCAAAACACTGCTTCTCTTTAACAGGTTACAAAGCTCTGGCACCTTTAGCCAGGCCTGACCAGTTCAGATGGGTCTGAAGCCATCAATCCTGGTACTTATGATGCTGAACTAGGCAAATAGCTTTAGAAGGTTAACAGCTTAATGTCACCTCCCCACCATTGCTAGCAACCATCCAGAGCCCACCAAGCCAGCCCACTGCACCTCTCAGTGCAGAAAATATGCTGCTCCTCTCAGGTTTTCTCTCAAGACACAACAAAGATCTTGCCTCAAGGAAATGAGTAAGATAAGAACACAAAGCTGCTGATGCAACTCCAGTCATAACCCAGCATTTCTTACACACTTTCCTCTGAGCACTACCACATTTCTCTTGCCAAAGCCAACCAGAAAACCTTAAAGACTAAACATTCCTCCCCCCACACAGCTCCTGTCCAGGCTGATGGGACATGTGAAACAGATCTGACCTGGCAACCATCCAATACCATGGTTTTCAAGCATGAGTTTGATGGTTTCCAAGCAAGAGTTAGTGGGACCAGGAGATATCAGACCTGAGGCAAACTCAATCTGCCCTCAAAGAGCACCCCTCCCATGGAGTTCTTGAAACATGCTCTTTGATTCAGTTCAAAGGAAGCCAACAAAGCTAAAGCAGGCTAGAAACAGCATGACATGGGGAGAACCATCAGGTTAAATGAGAATTAAACATCCAGGGGAAGTGATAGTTCTTGTAACACAACACATAAAAGAGGTTTGGGGTTTCTTTATTCGATGAGCTTCCCAAAACAGCCAGTTCACTACTAGTCAGTCACAGAGACCTGTACAGATGTGGTTCAGATCCCACCAATTCACTGGACAGGTTCCCACTGCTTTTGATGGGGCTTGGCATGGAAGTTGAGCATGCTGGGAAACACCCTTAGCCAAGATGGGCAAGTTCCCTTCTAAACTCTACCTTGTTCTGTGCCAGCTTTGACCTGCATCAGATGGAAATCACATATTAACACTGATATTAGTCCAGTCATTAAACACAGCAAGACAACACTAAGCTCTGGGAATGAAGAAGCAGGTGTAGAGTATTCAGAGCAGCTCTCACCAAAATGAAAACTCAGGTCACGCTGTGTGGGACCCATCCCAGTTCAACCACTTGTCACTGGTGGATGGGGTTTCCTCAGAAATGAACATGTTCTGTGTTTAGTTTGAGAGCCAACCTGTAAGACCTCCCAGTATGAGGAACTGTCCCATGCAAAATGAAGAGCAGGAGACATGTCCTCTGTAAGGGTAAAGGAAGAAGAGGCTTCTTCTCTTACCTAGACCCTGGTTCTGCTGCTCCCACTCGATGGCGTCAGGAACTTGGTAGGACATCCCTGCCAGCTGGGCCACAGGGTTTTCCAGGCCACCTATGGGCTCTTGGGAGGTCTCTCCTGGAAGCGTGAAACCTGGCAGCTCCGAGTCACCCTCCATGCTTTCATCCATCAAATCTATGTCTTTGTCCTCCTCCTCTTCTTCTTCTTCCTCGTCTTCTTCTTCTTCCTCCTCCTCTTCTTCCTCTTCCTCTTCCTCTTCCTCACCCTTTGGCCAGGGAGACACAAAGACAACATCAGGAGCAACTCCACAAGACAGAAGGTTCATACATCTTTATAGGTGAGTGCCAAGACAGCCAGCTGATACCACTTCTCCAAAGGCAGAGCAGCTGAACAAACTTGTGTGTGTTTTCTAACAGTAAAGACACCCAAAGCGGTTAATTTGGAAGAGCTCACCACTGTTTGAGGTTGCCAAGTAACAATGAGATGTTGTCTTAGACTGTCAAATGTATTAGTGGGAAAAGTTGTTTTGCCTTCTAATGGCAGAGTACAAACAAGCATGTGCATGTGTACAAATGCCTGAGTATATATAACTACAGTGCTCTCTGCTCAGTTCATTTCAGCTCAAGTGAGAACCATTTCCCTCATTTCTACTCTTGGAGGCAGCAATAAGTTGGTTCTATTTTTAACTTTTATTAATCCTTTCACAGCCCTAGGAAGGATGCTGCTTTCCAGCCCAATTAGAGTGATGTGGCCCCTCCTTCAGAAGAAGCATCTCGCTTCCCTGTGTGCTGTCAGATTGGCTCCTGGGTGTGGGAGGACAGTGGTGGCGGTAGCCACCCACAGCAGGATCCTCAGCAGGTTTATACCAGCCATCCTGTCACAATGGATTTACACTGGACAAAGGTATGGCCAAGGAAGACTTAATTCAGTATTGGAAAGAAGGCAGCACAGCCAACCCTTCACCTGAGAGCAGATAAACGTGACGCCAAGGGAATCATACAATCATAGAATGTTTTGAGTTGAAAGGGACCTTTGAAGGTCATCTAGTCCAAAATGCCTGCAGTGAGCAGAGACATCTGCAACTAGAGCAGGCTGCTCAGAGCCCCATCCAACCTGGAATGTTTCTGGGATGGGGCATCTACCACCTCTCTGGGCAACCTGGGTGGGCCTCACCACCCACATTGTAAAAAAGTTTTTTCCTTCTCTCTAGACTAAATTTTCCCTCTTCTAGTTTAAAACCACAACCCCTTGTCCTATCACAACAGACCCTGCTAGAAAGCCTGTCCCCAGCTTTCTTCTAGGCCCCCTTTTAAGTACTGAAAGGCCACAAGAAGTTCTCCCTAGAGCCTTCTCCTCTCCAGGCTGAACAAGCCCAACTCTCTCCTGCTGGCCTCCCAGCAGAGCGGGTCCAGCCCCCAAATCATTTTTGCAGCCAGAGAAGTCTGGACCCGCTCCAACAGGTCCATCAGTCTAGTGGAGAATCCAGTAGAGCAGATACATCTGTTATTCCAAGGCTGACTGCACCATTGACATATGGAGAGAGAAATATTTAAGCCATATTTCATTGCTAAAATCTAAAATGGCAACAGAAGCACAACTGCACTGGGTCAAACAAAAGGCCCTTTCTGCCGACATCCTATTTCTGACCACAACTTGCTGGAGGCACTGAAGAAAGTCTACAGCAGGGCACACACAGAACCAGTCTTCCAACAGCCTCTCTTCCCACCTTTCAGTTATCAAAGGCTCAAGAATATCCTGAGCTATTGCATCTAAGCTATCTAATAGCTACTTACCATGAAAAGACAGTACCTGGAATAATGACATGGTTTGAATTTCTGATGGTTACTTCTTCAAAGCTGAGAACTAAAACATAATATTTATGCACTTTATCTAATTTACACAAAGCTCTGCTCAGCCCTATAGAAGAACCTCCTCCTGAAGTACTCAGTGGAAGAGCCATCACCTTGCATGTGAGCAGCTGGTCTAGCCAGGGCTCTAAGACCTTGTTAAAACCCAATGATCCAGCCAAATCAACATTTTTTATCTAGATATCCCTTTATTTCTGTTGGAGTTGTACCTCATCTAGGTTACAGACACTGCAATAAGATGAAGCTGCTGAGGTCAGACACTTGGGGGGCTGCACATATCATACCTGCTGTAAGTAAAGCAGGTGAGGCTTCAAAGTCCTCTTTTCTGCTGTGGGGTACAATGGCACTCCAGCATTGGTGTTCCACAAAACACCAGGGAAACTTTGGGGAAGCTATTTAGTTGGTGGCTATCTGACTTGAATTCACTGGGAGGTACTGGCCTCCCTCCTTTGGCCTCTACTTTAGATTGGAATACCTAGAGCAATCAGTGCACGTCACAAAACCACAGCATTCCCTGCCCTGTGAAGAGGCTTTTCCTTCTCTTCTAAGTCAAGGACTTGCTTTAAAACACTGCATGTTTTTTCCAGCTCACTGGACAAGACAATCCCACCCACCCCCTCTCGACTCTCGCCCTCCGTGTCATACAAATGAGCTGCTGCTTGAATTTAGCTGTGTCATCCTGGCTTTCAGGAGCTGGAGAGATCATTCCTGCAGAAAATTATACCATGCAGAGCATCTAATGGAGCTTACAAGGATGTAGTTAGCCCCTTAAATTCCCATTACGTTTTATAGGTAGTTTCTATCTTATAATGTGCCCCTCATTTCAAATCAACATAAGAATTTTCTCTATCAAACTGTATGTTTTCATACAAAATGCACAACTTCTGTGAACCTGAAAAGGGCACCTGGAGAGTGCTTGCAGGAAACCTGCAAAGGCAAGTTAATGTAGGTCTTTTGCCTCTGCTGACACAGCAGAGCTATAAACATTTCCAAATTTCAGTAGCAAAGGCACTAAACAGCTAGGACATCAGAGAGGAGGAACACGAACAGAAGTATCCCCTAGATGGATTGGGTGCACAAGCAGCCAAGACAAAAGAGGGATCAGATTTTTATCTCTGAAAAACTAGCTTTGGACAAAGTTTTTAGAAGCTTCTTGATATTTTAGCAAGCCAAAGCAAAGACACGTGCCAGGATATAATTCTGAAGCAGCAGATAGCCATGTCTGTACCTCCAAGGTCTCGCAGGCAGCCAAGCTGAACACCCAAATTGAAAGTGCCGAGGCCACTTATCACACCTGATCATTACCAAGCTACAGCAATCATCATGCAGCCACAGCAGAAAGATGTGAATCATGTACTCCCTCTAGCACAAATGCTGCGAGGGGAAAAGAAAAGGCTCCAAACTTGTTTCCCTCTCCTCTCTAGCTCATTCCAAGCTTTTGAAAGCCCCATCCCCAACTGCCAATGGCTTGCCTTGCTGCAAGGTGCAGTGCAGAGCACCACTTGGTGGTCAGAGGGAGGAATCTACACCTCTAAATATATCACAGGCTTCACAAATGTTGGATTTCAGAAGCAGAGACACAACAGGAGCTGGGCAGCCATGGGCAGGCTGTGCAGAACTCTCAGTGGTCTCATGAGATGGAAAATGGAAGTGAGCATCACAGAGCTGAACATCAAGCTGGAGATTTGTGATTCACACAAGAGCCTTTTATAAAAATCATGGTTTTCCTCCAGAATTGGCAATCCTTGGCCTTTCATAGGCCTCCACAGCAGCTTGAGAGAAAAGAAACAAAAGAGACTGAAAGTAGCAAGGACTGGTAGTGCAAAGCTCAGCAGATCAGAAGGCATTCATGTTTCCACGTGCATCTGCACCCCATGGTGAACTGTTTTGTGTATCCTAGAAACATTTAGGTTGGAAAAGACCTTAAGATCAAGTCCAACTGTTAACCCAGCACTGACAGGTCACCACTAACCCATATCCCTCAGCACCACATCCACATGCCTTTTAAATCCCTCAGGGATGGGGACTCCACGACTGCCCTGGGCAGCCTGGGACAGGCCTGGACAATCTTTTCAGGGAAGACAGTTCATGTCCAACCTCAGCCTCCCCCTGCACAACTTGAAGAGACCAGCACCCATCTCACTCCAGCCTCCTTTCAAGGAGTTGTTGAGAGACAGAAGGTCTCACCTGAGCCTCCTTTTCTCCAGGTTCAACAATCCCCCAGTTCCCTCAAACTATAAATACTCTTCATTTTTGGTCAAAGTTCATATTACAAACAAAGAGAAAAAGGTGACAAAATGCTCGTGCCTTATGATCAAGGCACTAGTCTCTAACCAGAAAAAAAAAAAAGGCAAGTCTAAAATTTTCTTGGCCGTGGACATGACTCCAAACCAGGCATTCACCTCAAACCCAGCTGGAGGAACACCTCTGAACATTAGACAGTGGCCAAAGTGCCCCTTGCTCACTGAAGCGGACAGGTCCACAGCACCTATAGCAGTTTCTGCTGGGAGCCACCCTTGCTCTATAGATCTCCACATGTTACATGTAAGCTAAGATTGTTATCCTCTTTGCATGCACCAAATCCTGGCACTTGCTTGTGAAGTGCTACGTGGACCTTCCAAGGAGGAATGCTCTCCTCTCCACTGGCATCAGGAGTCTTTAGCACTGAAACACAGTCCGAGCAGACATCCACATTTGCCACTGCAGTCAGAGCAACACAAGAGTAATCCAGAGAAGATAAGGTCCCACCTCCAAGAGTGAAGAAATCCAAAATCTGCCACTCTTTAACAGACTAAATACACATTATTTTCGGTAAAGTAGGCACTGCTTGCCTTCCTTGAATCAGGAAAGCAAAAAAAAAAAACCCAGAAACTTAACAGCTCCCTGCTGTGAAAACAGTACAACCCTTGGGTTGTACATGGAAGCAGCAAAAAGAAGAATGACATTCCCAGTTCACATGTCAAGGATTCTAGTTTTGAAAGACTTGACAGTCCTGTAATAGGCAATCAAATTTTCAGGTTTGGAGACGCTACAGAGGAGCACAGAGGAAAAAAAAAGAGTTTTAGACAAAATAAAATTTTTGTGGAGTTTTTGAGGGTTCCCAGCTTTATTATTAGTCACCAGAAACTGCAATGATTGGGCTTTATCATGGGACTCCATAATGATCCATCACCAACATATGGAAATGTTGGGGTGGTGGTTGGACTTCATGACCCTAGAGGTCCTTCCCAGCCATAGTGATTCTGTGATTGGTGACATCCATAGGATTTGATTTGCTATCTCACTGTGGCAAACCTCCCTATGCTTCCTTCAAAAAGAGGTTTGCCACTACAAAACTCTACATATCCAAAATGCCTTTTGTGGCTCCGCAGAAATGAGACCACATCTCCTTTGTGATGCATCTCCCTGACCCAGAAGGAACCCACCATCAGCAGCCTGAAGCAGCTGGACAAGAGCCAGCATCCCACAAGTGAAACTCTCAGCCTATGCTGGCTGCAGAGCCCTCACAGATCAACTGCACAGAGGAACCTTGGCCCCTATGGGTGGTCCCACGCTGCAGAGAAGAGGATTACAGGTCCAGCTCTTCCTTCTGGCAACTCAAAGTGAGGAAAGGAGTTTTTGCTGTAATGTCTTGTAACAAGCTAGAGCTGAAGCCACTGTTGTCATAACCTCGCTGAAGGCAACACAGTTAGATCAGGGCCTCTGGTTTCAGCTGAAGAAACCTTCACTGAAGCAGGATGTTTCTATCTTTAGGTGTTTTCTATTAATGATTGCAAATGCTTTTTAGTCCTCAGAAAATTCAAGAAACCATCATCTGTCAGATTCAGTGTGCAGGAGAAATATCTTGCTGTGCCCTGAGCAGCAAGGTGATAAATTCACTTACAGTCACAAACTAAAAAAAAAAAAAAACCAAACCCAACCACCCAAACTGCAAAGGATGTTGCAGGACAGAACCTGGAGTCCTCATTTTCCCTGTCCTTTTCCTTCTCAGCCTCCCCCACATCGAGCTCAGAGGACAATGATGTCTAGACAGCATCATTATGCTTCATGACAGTCTAAGCTGTCATTTCATACGGCACCCAGTGCTGTGGGTCCTGAGCACCCAGGAGCACCTGATGAGTGCCAGGTAAGCTATGATTAACCAGCAGCCAACACTAATTGGTTTCCAGCAGTGAGCCTGCTCTTTGCATGACTTCATGGAGACATAGCATGCCAAGACCTCTCCTGCACAAGCACAGAGCAAGGGCTCCAGAGAGTGCAGACCTAGCAGTTACCTGCATAACGTGCCCACCAGTTAAAGGAGAGAGCTATGGGACACCCACCCACGCTGTGATAGGGGAAGCTTGGGCTCACACACTATTGAGCAAAACTCTACTTTTCAAGAAGTTTTAGCTGGCCAAAATGGAGCAGAGGTCTCAGGGTCTGCTTTGGTCTCTGCAACAGCCGCACGGACACCAAACTAGCCACCTAAGAGGTATCACAGTGCTCCTGCTTTGGTAAGGTTTTGGTCAAAGTTATTCCTCTTCCCTCCATCTACAAGTCTAGTCATGCAACAGAGCAAGGGGATTCTTCAGTCACAGAATCACAGAATGTTAGGGGTTGGAAGGGACCTCTGGAGATGATCGAGTCCAACTCCCCTGCCAGAGCAGAACCATCTAGTCTAGGGCAGGTCACACAGGAACGCATCCAGACAGGTCTGAAAAGTCTCCAAGGTAGGAGACTCCACAAGGTTCCTGGGGAGCCTGTTCCAGTGCTCTGTAACCCTGACAGTAAAGAAGTTCGTCCTCATGTTGAGGTGGAACTTCCTGTGCTACAGCTTATGTCCACTGGCCCTCAGCCTATTGCAGGGTACAAGTGAAAACAGGTTGCCCCTTTCTTCTTGACACTCAGCCCTCATATATTTATACACATGAATTAGACCCCCCCTTAATCTTCTCTTCTCCAGACTAAGCAGCCCCAGGTCTCTCAGCCTCTCCTCATAGGGCAGGTGTTTCTGTTCCCCACTCATCCTCGTAGCCCTTCACTGGACTCTCTCCAGTAGATCGCTGTCCCTCTTGAAATGGGGAGCCCAGAACTGGACACAATACTCTAGGTGAGGTCTCACCAGGGCAGAGCAGAGGGGGAGCAGGACCTCCCTTGTCCTGCTGCATACACTTTTCTTAATGCACTCCAGGATCCCATTGGCTCTCCTGGCCACAAGGGCACACTGCTGTCCATGGACAACTTGTTGTCCACCAGGACTCCAAGGTCCCTCTCCACAGAGCTGCTCTCTAGCAGATCTCCTCCTAACCTGTACTGGTGCATTTTATTACTCCTGCCCAGGTGCAGGACTCTTCACTTATTCTTGTTGAACCTCGTTAGGTTCCACTTGGCCCAGCTCTCCAGTCTGTTCAAATCTCACTGAATGACTACACAGCCTCCAGCTGTATCAGCCAAACCTCCCAGTTCCATGTCCTCAGCAAACTTGCTGAGCAGACACTCTATACCATCATCAAGTGTTAAATTACAGACTTCTAAAGGCTGGACAGAGCAAGCTAGAGGAGCATTCATGTACTAAGATGTGCCCCCACTACAACTCTTCAGTGGTATGAAATGTGGAACGGTGTGAAATCACTCCCACCCTCTCCTAGAGGTGGTGCAGCAGGGTGAGGAGGGTAGCACCCATTTCACAGGTGAGCCATGCACCTAAACTAAGGAGATGGTTTCCTTTCCTCCTGTGTGTTTCAGAGCCCCTCACAGGACAAACGGGCAGGAGGGGCAGATTGAAGTGTCTTGTCCACCACACACACCACAGCTGATCTTCTTCCACTTCACACCCACACAGCAGCATTGAGCCTTGTTCACTCACAAGCACATACAGCTGAGGAAGCACAAGAGTCTAAATAACAACAGGATTAGGGATGGGGGTCTATAACTACCTTCTCTTGCCAGAACAGGAGGAAAAGGCATTAAGAAGTCTCTTCTAAATGCTTCCTTCCAGTGAGGATCATCTTCTGCATTGTTTTTATGATCATAGTTAACGGCCAACTATGGAAGGTCCTTCTAGGACAACTCTCCTTTATTATTAATCTGCTGCTTTCACATGATCAGCAATAATGTCACCATCCAATGTCTCCAAATTACTGCCAAGAACAATCACTTGTGACAATGTGGAAGGAGACAGCTGTTAGGAACATAGATAGGCTCTGATCACGTGCAGCTTTCTGGACAGAGTAATATACCATGGTGGAGTCAGATACCCAAGCAAGCAGTGGGCACAGAAGCTATGCAAAATCATCAGGGTTAAACCCCACACTGATGAGTTCAGGTAAACCCAGCCACGTTCACTGCAAAGCTCTCTGGGGGATTTGTAGATGGTGCTG